AACAAAGGAATACGAAAGGAGAATAAAGGAAGAGGAAGGGAGACCTTGGCTTAACACCAAAATCTCCCTCCTATGGAGGAAGAAGAGTAGAGAGAAAGTTGAGGGTAGAGAGGGAAAGGAGAAGGTTACCCAAGTCAATAGCCACATAATATTGTGTGAACCTTCTGAGAAGAAATAAAGAATTTTTTCATGTTTGATTTCTCTTTGTTTATTAATCTTTTAATTTTAATGTCAAAACACTCACAATGTCGATTTCACTTCATTGAACTTTACTTAATCTTGTCTTCTTGGGTACACCAATAATGATTTTAGCTTAATACTTTGTCATTAATTAGTCTTACTCACCGGAAATACAAATTGAATTATAACATGACCCTTATTTGTCTAAATCAGTAGCTTGTCTCTTAAGAACAAACTATTTACTATTTAGGCTTACAAAGATATGCGGCTACCTAAGATCACCAAGTAGCACTTCCGCTTTTTACCAGAGTTGATTAGTTGAGTTAGATCTTTATGAAATAAGTTGTTGGGGAAAATGCACTTTTAATCCCCAGTGTTTGAGATGTTGGACAATTTCATTTCTAAAGTTTCAGTCAAAACACATTTCATCCTCATACTTTTATAATTTTGACTGATTTCATCCCTAAAATTTCAAGCAAATACATTTTATCCTCATAATTTCATAAATTTGACTAATTGAGAACAATTGATGAATTGTCAAATAATTTGAATGGAATATCATTACTTGACCATAAAAAAACATTGGTTCAACAAAAACCTTAAAAATCTTTTTTTTTTAAAATTAAGTTTCTCATTTTCAGTACCAAAAAATAAGAAAACTAAGAAATTTTCAGTCACCATTACTCTCTTCTTAATTACAAATCGAACAAGAAGATCAAGAAGAAACGAAGTCGTGGAGAAAAATCCGATGATAGCCAATTGGAGAAATATTTCAAACAATCCCAATACAACCAATTAATGTGAAAGAAAGAATTATTTGGATTGTCATTTATTTGCAAAATATTATTTTATTGCATCATATACATGTTTATGTCATTTAATCAGTGATTGAATTAATTATTGATAATTACAGTACATGCTGATCATGTCATGATATTTTGTCCAGATTGATTAGCAGGCATTTAATTGTCCTCAATTGATCAAGTTTATGAAACTATGAAGATGAAATGTGTTTGAATGAAACTTAAACGACAAAAAGTTGTGATCCTCTCTCTATGTAGAGGAAGCTCTCTCTTAGGATAAAAGCCCACCTCCCTTTGGTGGGAGTTCAGCAACTTTCAAACTTTTTCAAAAAAGTTCTCATCATCCCGCACTTCTTCACACATTTGCCCAACCATCATCACTTTCAATCTGGTCTGCAACTAATGCTCGTGCATTTTAGAACAACCATCATATACAAGGAACATTAAGGATGTTCCTCCAGAGGAAACACACGACAACTTAAATACTACACTTTATGATAGCTGAAGCCAGGTAAAACTTGTTTAATCGCTTCTTTTCCTTGCTCCCTTGTCTGAGGTAGTGTCTATACATGTGCATTTGTGTTCTCAGTGTTTATTGTTTTGTTTGGTTACTTCGTCACCTTTGACTTTAGCCGCGCTGGTCCTCTTTTCTCAGAAAGACGTGTCCAGCCGTGTCTTTGTCCCCTATGTTTTTTTGTCTTTGGTCCATAGTCACTCTATTTGTGATTTCCCCACTTTGATCCTGATTGGGAGTCGAAAAGGCATATCTTTTCTACTTTAGAGAGGGTTCACCCGTTAGCATCTCAGGATTTATCAATGGAGGGAGATCTGATTGAGCTATTACAAAGATTTTCACTAGAGGGGAATGAGATCTCTGGAGCTAAGCTGGAGTTGGAGGATCTGACCAGTGGAGTGAAGGATTGTAAAGGAAGCCTGATAGGAAGAATTATGGGGGAGAAAATAGCAAACTTCACGGGGGTGAAGAACTTTGTGACTGCAGCTTGGAGTTATCCCAGGAATCTGACGGTAATGGAGCTGGGGCCGAATGTGCTCCAATTTAATATCCCAAACCAAGAAGATAAAGAAAAGAATAGTGACAGGAGGACCGTGGTTGATGGACAATCAAGTCTTAGTGTTGAACAGATGGTCAAAAGGGATAGAAGACAACTATGGAGCCTTTGTTACTGCACCTTTGTGGGTCCAGATAACCTACTTGTGCATTGGCTCACCAAAAGGTAGGCAGGAAAATCGGAGTAGTGTTCAAAGATGTCAAAGAGGTTGTTATCCCTTAGGCTGGAGGTAAAGAAGGCAGGCATTTAAAAATACTAGTCCTTGCAGATCTGTCTAAACCCCTTCTTAGAGGAACTTTGGTGCATTTAGCAGGGTCACTTAAGTGGGTAGTGTTTAAGTATGAACGATGTCCAGACTTTTGTTATAGATGTGGAATAGTAGGTCATGGGGAACGTACTTGCAAGGAATACATAATTGCTTCAGGAAGTCTGTTAGACAACCAATATGGCCCATGGATGAGGGCAGGTAATAATAGAAGTCCTACTAAGGATCGAGTGGTGAGGGATGATATGGGGAAGGATAAAAGATATTGGAAGTTCCAAAATGGAGAAATGGTTGAAAGGGAAAAGAATAGGGTCCAATCTGGAGAGGTACTTTTGGAGACACTGAGGACCTGAGTACTAGGAACTAGAGGCAATCAGGATGTGATGAAAGAACAGGAAGGTCTAAGAGATGAACTTCAAGGCCATAGTGACCTGTATAATAATAAGGGGGAAACTAGTGGAAGGGAGCGAGTAAGCAGTGCAGATTCTCAACCTTTGACCAAGGAGAAACAAGAACTCCCTCTTCCAGTACAGGACAATGTAGAGGAGAACCTGTCTCTAGCTGTTATAGAGGAAATGGAGGAAGACAGAGAATTGTGCACAAGATGGTTGGAACAGGAGAATAGACTTCTAGAGATTCCAGTTAGGGAGGCAAGAATGCAGGAAGAGCTCCAAGGTACTGTTAAGCTTCAAAAAGCTATTAAAAAGCAAGTTAAAAGGTCTTTTAAGAAGCTGAAGTCCCCAATGAAAACTAGAAGGGCTCTGAAGGAGAGAAATGATCAGGATGTTATTCTTGCAGGAAGTGGGAAAAGAAAGGTACTGTTCAATGATGAGGACATGGAGGAAGTGTGCTAGCAAGAGGGATCAGACAAAAGAGCCAAGACGTATGAGGTAGTTGGATTCACAGGAATGTCTGAGGTGGAGGTGGGTCCTTCCCTAATGGGGCCCTCCAAAGGAAATGAGGGCTTTGGTGTGGAACTGTCAAGAAGTAGGGAGCCTCTTGACAGTTCCCCATTTGAGGGAGGTGAATAACCTCCTCTCTCTAAGCCTGATCTTTTTGAGTGAGACTAAGAACATAAAACAGGTGGTGGAAAGGATAGCTAGAGGGTTAAGGTTTGATAACAGTGCAATCGTGGAAGCAATGCACAGGTCAGGAGGAATGGCTGTGTTGTGGAATGAGAAAACAAAGGTCCTAGAAATTAACCAAACTGCTTTCACTATAGAGGTTAGAATAGAGAATAATGATCATCAATGTGACTGGTGGTTTATAGGGATTTATACGAGTTGTGATGCTCAGATTAGGAAGGAACAATGAAGGGTTTTGAGAGATAGAAATAGACTGTGGGGTGGCAGATTCTTGATTGCAGGAGACTTCAATGACATTCTATCAAACGAAGAGAAATGGGGAAGATCACTTAGAGAGGAAAGAAGCTTCAGGGATTTTAAGGACTTGATAGACCAAAATGGTTTGATAGACATAGGATATGAGGGCCACCTATGGACTTGGAGTAACCATTGGGAGGAAAAAGGAGAAATCAGACAGAGGTTAGATAGATGCCTGGCTAGCTATGATTGGGTCCAGATTTTTGAAAAGGCAAGATGCCAACACCTGGACACCTATGCTTCAGACCACAGCTTACTTTGTTTAGACACTGTTCCAGATAAGGAGAAAAGGAAGAAAAAGTTCTATTTTGATAAACGTTGGCTTCAAAAGGAAGGGTGTCAACAGGTAGTAAAGAAAGCTTGGCAGATAGAAGAACCTGGATCACATATGTTCAAGATTACTAAGAAGATCAGAAACTGTTGAATAGAATTACTGAAATGGAGAAACACCTTTCAAGCTAACTCTAAAAGGAAGATTATGGAGTTAAGAAAGGATTTGGAGGCTGTGAGAGGTTCAGTTTCTGCTAATAAAAAAGTGATGACTGCTGAGATCAAGAACCAGCTTAAAGAAGCTCACAAGGACGAAGAGAAATTTTGGTGCCAAAAGGCAAGGATTGACTGACTAGGAGAAGGAGATAAAAATACAAGGTACTTCCATGCCTACGTTAAAGGGAGAAGAACTAAGAATAGGATCATGAATCTGCAAAGGGAGAATGGCTCATGGATTGTAAATGAGAAGGAAGTAATATCAGAAATTTCTAATTTCTTTAGAGAGCTTTTTACAAGTGGAGGGAGGAGTGATATGATTGAGATGCTAGAGGGTATTCCCCACTCTATAACTCAGGAAATGAACACCAATTTAACTAAACCAGTTGAGGAAGAGGAAGTCAAAGTATCTCTTTTCTCTATGCAACCTGATAAAGCTCCAGGGCAGGATGGCATGACCCCCTTATTCTTCCAAAAGTTCTGGAGTACTATCAAAGGGGATTTGGTACCAGCAATTCAGTCTTTCTTTAGTTCAAGCTTCATGCTAAAATCCATAAATCATATTGTCATTTCTCTAATCCCTAAAATCCTGAGTCCAACCTGCTTGAAAAATTTTAGACCCATCAGCCTGTATAGTGTCATCTATAAGACCATTTCCAAAATTTCGGTCAATAGACTGAAGCTTGTTTTGGACAAGTGCATAAGTAACACTCAATCCGCATTCATCCTAGACAGGCAAATTTTAGACAATGTAATCCTAGCTCATGAGTACATACATTACCTCAAGAATAAAAGGCAAGGAAAAGAATGATACATGGCAATCAAGTTAGACATGGCCAAAGCCTATGATAGAATGGAGTGGCATTTCTTACAGGCAATGATGCAAAAGATGGGCTTTTGTGCACAATGGATCAATTGGATAACTAGCTGCTTGAAGACTGTAAGATACTCTTTCAATTGCAATGGAGAAACTAAAGGATTTGTAGTTCCAGAAAGGGGAATAAGACAAGAAGATCCACTGTCTCCTTACTTGTTCTTAATCTACTCAGAAGGCTTCTCCAATTTGTTGAGGAAAGCTGAAGAAAGGAAGGATATACAAGGGTTGAGGATCAGTAGACAAGGGCCAATTATCACACACATTTTCTTTGTAGACAACTCCTTAATCTTTTGCAAAGCAAACGTGCAGCAGGCCAAGGAAATCATGAAGATTCTTAAAATGTATGAAGAGGCCTCAGGACAGTTGATAAACCTTGATAAGTCAACTGTCTTTTTCAGTAAGAATATGTCTCTGGAGCAAAAGGAAGCAGTGTGCAGCTCACTGGGAGGAATGACAGAGATGAAACATGGTAAATATCTAGGACTGCCTATGGTGATCTCTAGGACAAAGGAGCAGATCTTTGGGTTCATTAAAGAAAACATCAAGCATAAGCTTCAGGACTGGAGAAATAAGTTGTTGAGCACAGCGGGCAAGGAAGTACTGCTTAAGGCAGTCTCAATGGCAATGCCAACATATGCCATGTCTGTGTTCAAACTGCCGAGGAAGCTTTGTAAAGACATAAGCTCATTGATGGCTAACTACTGGTAGGGAGAAGCAAATGGTAAAAACAAACTGCATTGGGTATCTTTGGAGGAGAATGTCAATGAAAAGGAATGCAGGAGGTTTGGGTTTCAAGGACATTGAAGCTTACAATAAAGCATTGCTAGGCAAACAGATTTGGAGAATACTCACTAAACCAAACATTCCCATTAGCAAAGTGCTGCGAGCAAGATACTTTCCCAAGGACTCAATATTAACATGTAAGCCTCACAAGAATGCTTCCTGGATATGGCAAGGATTACTTGGAGCTAGAAGTTTAATTGACAAAGGGGTGATCAGAAGGATTGGCAATGGGAGAAGTACGAGTATCTGGAACCACAGATGGATCCCAGGATCCAGCTCTGGTAGGCCAACCTCTCTTGCACCTCAAAGCTATGACTTGAAGATGGTACATGAACTAATACGACATCACAGATGGAATAGAAACACCATTTTTAAGTCTTTTAAGCAAAGTGATGCTGAGAAGATTTTAAACATCCCCTTAAGTTTGGTGAGGAGGGAGGATAGCTATTATTGGCAACACAATGCTGGGGGGTTTTACACTGTCAGGTCAGGTTATAAATCTCTAATGAAAGAGAGTGCAAATGCTGAGAAGGAGAAATCAGAGGCAGCTGGCCCAAGTATCACGGAAGGCAGTCAACAAGTTGTGGAAGCTCAACATCAAACATAAAATAAAGATCTTCATATGGAAATGTATAACAGGTGCACTACCAGTGAGAGCTGCTATATACAAGAAGACAAGATTGGGAGATCCAGTGTGTAGAACATATGGGGAAGAGCAGGAAACAGTGGAGCATTTAATGTTCAACTATCAACACACGTAGGAGATATGGAAAGCTGCACCAATATAATGGGACGGTGCTATCAATCAACAAGGGGATTTCAAACGGTGGTGGATCAAAATCTCAGAAGCAAGGAATAGACCAAGAGGGATGGAGCATATTGGACTGACTGCGAATATCTTAGTGTGGAAAGAAAAGAATCAAAAGGAATTCGAAAGCAAGAGCAGCTACTTTGTGATGACCCCACCGCACCCAGAGGCGTACCAAAGGGCTTAGCGGACCGTCTGCCTAACTCGCGCCAGGACTCGAAATAAAAAAAATAAAACTATTTGAACCAAAAGAGCACTATTCACAACATATATATTGGCTACATTGGCAAAAGAGTGCTATTTACATTCTCAAAAGTAAATATCCAGACCATTACATTATCCTATGATAATGACCAAAAGCAGGTAGTAGACCCTAAGGAGGGTTCTTACACGGATCACCAAAACAAGAAGAAACATCTTAATTGTCAGACTATTACAAACTAAACCTAACTATACTAGTGATAGTGCCAAAAAGTCTCCTGCGTCGGCCCCTGTTAAGAAAAACAAAGGGAAAGGGGTAAACTATAAGCTTAGTAAGTAAACGGGGTAAAAGCGTATATTGCACATCAAGAGAAACAACTATTTCACAAGGATGCCGAGTCAAATGCAAAAAGCAACAATACAAATTAAGGATACAGGTTGGCTCCAAAGCCAATACATTTGCCACGTGTGACTCCTGTCGACACTCCGTCGACCACAAATAGGGGTCCGTAGAACTCCACTTGTACTCTCACCGTACACCTTATTGCCCTTACTGGCCAGTCACATCACAAAATGGCTCGAGCAAACGAAACGAAATTGAATTTGATTCACAAACTTGGTTCACAAACTTGATGACCTCAAGACTAGGTTGGACTGACTTCAACCAAACTCCGGCTGGTTCGAATAGTCCGTCTAGATCTTGAGATCGGGCCCCACAAAAGTCACCCCGAACTACAAGTTCAAGGGGTTCAACTCCAAAATAATTCATATATACATCTCATATATAAACACAGGTGCAAATTAGGATTTAGGTCGAGTGTGATCAAGTACACCCTTACTTAAGTACCCTCTCATCCACATTAAAGTACATAAACAAGTTATATATAGAAACGGCCCGAATACTTACACAAAAAACAATGATAGCAAAAGTGCGAAAATCGCGTCACGTATAATAGCTAGTAAGCCCCACTGGCTCCGTCTAAATTACCACCGTCTGTAATAGAAGATTGCGCCACATTATTCCACAAACGACTACTAAAATACGTAAATAAAGCAAAACGGCAAAATCGACATGCGCGCGCGCCGAAACGGCGAACGGAAACGGAAAGGGCTGGCAAGACGGAAACAGACAGATTTGCTACCCCGAACCATTTTGACCATAAGTTAGACTATGAATGTCGGATTAAGGTGTATGAAGTACCGTTGTGAAACTAAGAAGAAGGGCTGCAACTTTCATGAAGACACCTCAACCCAGATCTCAATGGGTACAGGTCAAAATTGGGACAAACAGTTCCAGAATTTCATATTTAGGCTAACGGACAGGGTATGTTTGAATGACCATAACTCTTTGCTCATAAATGCAAATCAGGAAATTCCAAAAGAAATAGATAGCCAGTACATAAGGCTCCAACTTTTATGTTGTGACCAAAGTTTGAATCAGTACAGAGCAGAGGGGAAAATGGGTCCAAAATTAGTGCTCAGAACTGACCAACTTCAACGGCAATTCTGACACCTTACATTGTTTTGGGCATAATTGGAGCTACATTGATCGGATTGGGCTAAAATTTTGCAGGCACAACAAAGACTTAAGAAGCTACAACTTTCAGGTTTTGGACAAACCCTGAATCAATATGTAGCACAAAAAAAATGGAGCTAAAGTTCAGATTCTGGGCTGCCCTGTTTTCTAGTTTGAACGGTTGGCGCGTCACAAACGCATGATCCGTTTCTATGGTTCTCATGCAAGTTTTCTAACCAATTTCATACCAAATAAAACACACATATACTAGCTCCTAATAGTTCCACAAGAGACCCGAAATTCCTTTCCCAATTTAATCCCAAAACCTAGCAAACACTAACCATAGTCTAGGCTCTAACCTTACTAGCTTCAACTAGCTTCAAAACCTTAACCAACCAAACCCTAACCATCTAAGCTCTAGTTCAACCAAACTAACTTCCCTTTAAACTAGGGTTTCATGACTAAACTGGATTTTGCTAAGATCTAACCATACAAGTAAAATTAATACATCAAAAATTCCATTTACAAGTCAAATAACCAACCAAAGCAACTTAAAGAACCATGAAGCAAGAAATCCTAATTTCTTCCTAGCCTTGACCGAATTTTATGCAGCAATATATCACCAAAATAAACCATCAAACTACACTATAATCACCATATAAACCATAAAAGTGTACAACCACAACAAGAGAATCACTTTCATGGTTTCAAGATTCATTCACCAAAAATCAACTTCCAAGTGAGATGATTTACCTTCAAGTAAGCCTTGCAAGTGATGAAACTACAACAAGCAAGTGCCCAAGTTATTGTCCTAAGCTCCAAAATCAAGATGGATGGCTAAAACTTGGATGAACTTGGAAGAAATCCTCTCTTCTCCATTGGCTTCAATCTCGGCTCTCTCTCTCTCTATCTCTCTCTCTTGAAGTTTGTTTGGTTTATACCTATGTTTAGCTTGTATTTCCTTGGTATAAAATAAGTCGAAGACTCCAAAAGATATTTTCCACTTCAACCAATCACACAAAAGTTTGAATTTTGCTCCTTAGCCCTTACACCTTCACTTTCTCTTTCTTACATTCTTGCCCATAAAGATATGAAAAGCTTTCAATTAACTCCATAGATTATATACTTAATCTAGTCTAAAATCCTTAATCACACTTAATCACTTCACTAACCACCCTTCTATCTTAATCACCCATTCTTAATCATCCCTTATTCCACATAAAAGCAACTCAACAACACACTTTTTAACATGGGCAAAATCAAAGGCTTTAAATCCAACTTAGGGTTTCTAATGGATTGTAATACTAGAGGTTTTAGTAATAACTCAAATTAGGGTTTTCAAATTATTTAGGCGAAATAACATTTTAAAGAATTACCACCAACCTTAAAACCAAGTTTTATAGCAAAAAAAAAAATAACGCTAATATTCCTTATTCAATTAATATCAAAATTAAGGACTAACCGGAGTCTTACATGCTCACCAGTTAGAACAATTGGTAAAGCTCATAAAGAGTGGCTAGAACAAGAGGAAATCATGAAAGGTAGAACCAGTCTGAACACAAGAGAACAACTTCCAATCAGGAAGAGCATCATCAGGGACAGGATGAAGGGGGTACTATCATTTTGGACGTGGCTACAGGCCATGTCTCACTGGGGATTGGAGTTACAGTTAGGGTGCAACCAAATACTAGGATTGCGGAATGGGCACTCCAAGAGCGAAGCATGGGAGACAAAGTCTTAGATGAAGCTGTGTCCATCAAACTGGTTTTGTGTAAAGCTCTAGAGCAGAAGTGGAGCAGGATCAAGGTCCACGCTCAGAACCAGGAACTGATGAGATAGATAAAGTGTAAGAGTCCCTCTAACAGTAGTCTAGCTACCTTGATAGATGACAAACTTAGCATGCAGAAGTTGTTTCGCATGTGCTTGTTTTGCTTGGTTAATGAAGAAAGTATAGAACGAAGTAAAGAATTAAGTTCCCATGCCTTTGGCATCATTGTGGATGAGGAATGGAATTTCCTCAGTGCTATGTGAGCACTAGCTTGTACAGTTCTTTCAAGCCTTTGCTCATACATGTAATTTCTTGTTACAATGAATGAAAGATTCTAACGTTTCGAAAAAAAAAGAAACTTTAAGGACGAAATTAGTTGAAATTATAAAACAACGAGGATGAAATGTGTTTTGACTAAAATATTAGAGACAAAATTGTCCAAAGCTCCAAACAATGGGGATGAAAAGTGTATTTTTCCCATAAATTGTTCAAAATATTTAAAAAGATGTCTATTAGAAGAAAACAATAATTACCTACGATGTAGTTCAATTATTCCCCTCATGGACTGCTCACCACAAATCCTCTATCGGAATTGATATCCATTGACATCAAAACGACCAAATTAGGCTTCC